AGACAGATACACACACACACACACACACACACACACACACACACACACACACACAAAACAAAAACAAAAAACAAAACTGGACCACTTTCCTACAGCATATACAAGAATGAACTCAAAATGGATTAAAGACTTAAATGTAAGACCTGAAGCCTTAAAACTCCTAGAAGAAAACATAGGCAGTAAACTCTCTGATATTTGTTTTAATAATATTTTTTTCTAATATGTCTTCTCAGGCAAGGGAAACAAAAAAATAAATAAACAAATGGGACTACATCAAACTAAAAAGTTTGTTCATAGCAAAGGAAACCAACAAAACAAAAATACAGCCTATTGAGTGGGAGAAGATATTCATCAATGATACACCTGGTAAGGGTCTAATATCCAAAATTTATAAAGAACTCATACAACTCAACACCAAAAACACCAAACAATCCAATTAAAAAATTGACAGGGGAACTGAATAGACATTTCTCCAAAGAGAACATATGCATGGTCAATAGACACATGAAAAGATGCCCGATTGTCACTAATTATTAGAGAAATGCAAATTAAAATCGCAATGAGATATCACCTCATGCTGGTAAGAATGGCTATCATCAATAAATCAACAAACAAGTGTTGGTGAGGATATGGAGAAAAGGGAACCCTGATGCACTGTTGTTGGGATTGCAAATTGGTACAGCCCCTATGGAAAACAGTTTGAAAGTTTCTAAAAAAATTAAAAAATAGAACTACCTTATGACTCCGCAATTCCACTCCTGGGTATTTATCCAAAGAAATCCAAAACACTAATTCGAAAAAAGTATATGCACCCCTAGTTTACTGAAGCACTATTCACAATAGGCAAGATATGGAAACAACTGAAATGTCCATCAATAGACGATTAGATAAAGATGTGGTACATATATACAATGAAATGTTAGTTGGTCATAAAAAGAATGAAATCTTACCGTTTTCAACAAAACATGGATGGACCTAGAGCGTTTTACATTGAGTGAAATAAGTCAGACTGAGAAAGACATATACATATGATCTCATTTATATGTGGAATTTAAAAAACAAAATAAACAAAACAGACTCATAGATATAGAGAACAAACTGATGGTTGCCAGAGGAGAAGGAGGTTTGGGATTGGGTGAAAAAGGTGAAGGAATTAAGAAGTATAAATTGGTAGTTACAAAATAGTCATAAGGATGTAAAGTACAGCATAGAGAATATAGTCAATAATATTGTAATAACTGTGTATAATGCCAAGTGAGTACTACACTAATAGGGGGGATCACTGCATAAAATATATAAATGTTTGACCACTATGCTGTACACCTGAAACTAATGTAAAATAATATTGAATGTCAACTGTATTGGGAAAAAAAGAAATATATTTTTTAAAAGACTACATTTTATTCTTTTCATATTTCTGCTCTACCTTATTCGGAATATCAGACTTGCTCTCAGTATCACAACAATATCAGATAGGATATCCAGAGGCCAACAACCCGAAGAAGGGACAAGGATATCTTAGCTAGAAATTCCCCAACATACCTCCTTTCTGGCCTCACTGGCAAAAAAAAGGAGGATGGGGGGAGTGGCAGTATACACTCACCTTTAATTCAACCACTGGTCAGGGACATGAGATTGTTATGTTGGTTTACCCATGAGATGGAGTTAGGATTATCAACCGAGTAAATTGGGGCTCTGAAATCAGGGAAGGAGAGGGTTATGTGGTAGACGACCAACTATGTTTGCTCCACCACCAGTCAACTAAGCAACGTGATTCCAGTGTTGACAAACCATTTGATTACTTTTAGAAAGTTGGAAATCTAGATGTTTATGCATGATGTTCCAATTTTTAAATATTGGCAATAAATTCAAAACATTTTAAAATACTTTGTGGCCAAAACAATTCAGGTCCAATAAAACCAGTTTACAACCTCTGATTTTTCTTTTTTTTAACTAAAACATTCTTTGCTGAGAAAGTAAAGTTTACTTTAACCTTGTCAGTAAAGGAATTCCACAAATTTCCATGAAAAATATTTTTAATTAATAAAATTTTATTCAATTGTAGTAAACCTCAAATGACACAGCTAATAAGGATTGTAGAAGATAACGTGGAAAGAGATATATAAGTCAAAAAATGTTTATATAATTTTATCCTTAACTGAGGGTTCCAATTTGACAGGTTAATAGTTAAAATAATTAAGTTGTTAATAATCTTCTAATGAAAAATATATAATTTTCTCCCATCTGTCCCAGTTTCCTGTGATTTCTTGCTTTTTTATTTTGTTCCCATTAGAAGGTGAATTAATTCCTACCTAATGAGGTAATCCAGGTGCTCAAAATATTTTGAACAGATTGGGGCCAGCCGAGTGCGGGCGCGTTGGTTAAGAGCTGGTTTGGGATGCCAGAGGATCCTGGTTCAGATCCCACATATGAGAGCCAGTGACACTGCCCTCTACAGCTAGGATGCTGGACAACAGCTTGACCTGGAGCTAGGCTGCCGTGGGTTGCCGGCGACAATGTGGGCTGCAGTCCCCTGCTGCAGTGGGCTGACATAAGCTACTGTGTGTAACCAGCAGCCAGCGTGAGTGGCCAGCAGCCGCAGTGAGTGGCCGTCCAGAAGCCGGCAACTGATCTGTCTCGCCCGGGAAGAGTGCAATGATGGTGCCAACTTGGGCCAGTGAAGCAACATCCTCCACAACTAGACTGAAGAACAAAAAGGAAGCAACTTGTCTATTCCCCTTCCCCCAATTCCCCAGCGCTGTTCCCATCCCCTAATTCCCCAATAAAAATCTTAAAAAAAATAAAATATTTTGAACAGATATTAGTCAACATCACAGTAAAAAAAAAAAAAAAGTGAGGGAGTGTCTAGAGATTTCAGCTTCAAAGCTGTATCTTTAGAGTCATCTTCCTTCCCTGAGTATGGAGAATAGAAAATTTTAATTCATACAAAGATTCTCAAGAGTATGTCTCACTTAAAAATTTTTGTTATTTTGTTTAATCTTTTCAAAGTATAACATGAGTCAAAAAATGTTAACATTCTTGGGTATCAAAAGCAAATAGCAGTGAGCAAGTCCATATATTTTTTCTTCCATCCACATTGTCCAGTCTTCCAAGTTGATCATTTACCCACTAATCCTTGCTTAGCTGTTGCTTCAGACATATGGATTGCAGCCCTAAAAAAGACAAAACTCTTAAATGATCAAGTTTTCCTAAAAATGTTTATAAATATATATCTCATAACTTTGCAATATTAAGAAATGAAAATCAATTCTCTGTATTTACAGCTCCTACCTTACAGATTATTTGATACATCGCAGTGAAGGAGGAGAAACATGGGAATATAGGGAAAGAAGGTGAGAAAAACACCACACTGGGATCCAAATAGCCACCTGGCTAATTCATATAATATGGAGAGGGTGGGGGATCAGGAGAAGAGTTATGAGATACTGGGTGATTATTCTATGGGAATCTTCCTCCATCTCACTATCCCTGGGGAGTATTTTTGAGAAAATGAAGACTATTGTGATCATCATCACTTTCTAGCTAAGATCTTTCCATCAACTTCCTCTTGGTTGTTGGCCAAACCCAAAAGGAAAACATATGTTAGTACTTGTTCTACAAGCACACAGATGCTGTTCTTAGTGAACACCTCCTAGGAAGACATAGTTAGAAACTTCTCTCCCTCCAACTAAGAGTGCTAGAGGGTAAGAGGGTTGAGCTGGGTGAAAAAGGTAAACAAGAATATAATATATAATTTGGCTTTGGCTCTCTTACCTTAGGTGTAGACATAGGATTATCCTTGAAAACAGTAGAGGAAAGTACTTTTGTGACTTTATGCTATATTAGGGACAAAAATCATGGTAAGTCATTATAAATGTTATGTATTGCTCATCTTAGCTATTCTTATTTGCTTATTTAAATCATTCCTTACCTCCTCATTACTCATTAAAATTCTACCCAAATCGCAGGGGCCAGTTAAAATTCCATCTGCTTTGTCAATGGATCTCCCTCCTAAGCAGCTCCCTTAGGTGTACACAAATCATATATGAGGAATTAAATGCTTCATATGTTTATAACTTGTTTTCCCACTAAAATTGTAAAAGTTCTTGGAAATGAAACCTTAAATTTTAGTCTTTTCACTGACCACAGCAGAGCACCAAGTACGAGGAGATATGCTCAGTAACTACTTGAGTGAATGAATTCTACCATTTACTTCATGAGTGACTGAATTTATTCCAGGTTTGCTTATATGTGGTCTGTTTTTTTATGCCCTACCTCCTACAGAAAACTGTGACTAATACAGACCTTCTTCTATCTATAATAAATAAGAAAGTAAAATATAATTTACAATAAAATTTTATATCCTCCAAAATCAGCATTTAGAAACTACCCTTAAAAGGATATAGTTTGCCTTCTCCAGCAGAACTACCTATCATTTCTTAACAATTATATAGCTGCAGGACTATTTTTAATAATAATAAATTAATAGACAATCATTGAATAATAATTTATATTTATAATGTAGTAATAATTTATAGATAGTAAGTAGGCCTTGCTTTCTCAGATATATCCATGTGCTATGATATCTCAGGTTAGCCAAGGGAGCACAAACCCCATTAGTGAACCCACAGATTTAGAGACACTATTCACATTGGGCACAAGAGACATTTTAAAAAATCACCAGGGACCATCTGATACTTACAGGGAAAGAGGAAGAGGATACAGATGTAGGAATCGGTGGTGGTGGAAAATCTGGCTTTTTAATTAGCTAGTTAGAGGTAAAAAAAAAATGTATTCAAAGATGGGCCCTTGGAAACAGATGTGCTTAATGGAAAGGCTTAAATCATTTTCAGAAACGGAGAATGTATGACCCTACCCATGAGACTAGTCTAAGCCTGTAAGCTCACTTGCTTTTATTTAGGTATATACATACAATTTAAGCATAACTCCAAAGCCAATAGACATACGATGAAAACGGCACTCTATGTAGCAGATTGGCACTCTTTTTATAATGAGTTATCAGCTTTATAGACCTAGTAATTCTGGTTTAAGGGATTTTAGGAGACTGTCACATTTTGTGTTTTCCAGAAGTTTTGCAGAAAATCTGTATATTGCTATTCACTGATTGCCCAAGAAATAACGGGTATGAGGGGCACTGTCTTTTCCTAGCATTTCCTTGAGGTTAGATTAGAAGTGATATTTAAGAAAAAGTGCTGACTCACAAAAGCAGCTGGAGGCTCACTGCCCTCTGCTGGCAGATCAGGGGCATGAAGCTTCGTCTGACTCATCTAAAAAGAAAAATGTTTTAAAATGAAATGATCCGTTTCCTAAGTTCAGTTTCAAAACAGGCAGGCCTCTCAAGACATGGGAGATCAGCACTAAGATGACACTGAGATACCAGATGGGACATCACATTGGCCCAGCTGCTGTATTCCGCTGCCATCACAGTTGTGAGAGGCTGGTAAGTGTCCATCAAACACGTTATTACCAATGTCATTATCATTAACCCACTTCTGCTAAAATTTCTAGACTTGCAGGACATAACCAGGGCATGAAGGGGGTGATACATGTTACATATATTATTTTACAAATATATATATTATTGTCTTTACTGGGACATCTCCACAAGGAATAAGGAATCAAGTGGGGGGAGTACGGGAGGTGGGAAGAGAGAGAGGGAGAAAGAGAGAGAGAGAGATCTGACATCTACCTTCCTTGTTCTCTGTATTCTTTTTGCATTTTATGAACCACAGCAAAGCAGCCTCTGCATTTTAGGGGGAGTTTTCTACATTTAATCAAAGGCAAAGAAGAGCTTCCTTTCTGAATGTGTCATTACAGAACCCACCACAATCCTTGCTGCATACGCACTCGTGTGATGGATTTGTACAACACTGGTAAGTAGAAATGACAGATAAGAGGTCAGGACAAGAGAGGGAGACAATCACCACGGCAAGCACAGTGCAAACTACGGTTCACCTCTTGGCGTTGAACAGCCTTCACCATCTCTGGTTTCCTCTTCTGCCTGTGCGGTCTGGTGTCAGTGATAGACAGTGGCCTGTAGGTGAAAGTATAGCATACCAATGGACCTAGCAGTTCCTCCACCATGAGGGGGGAACTCAAGAGAAGTTTGCCAATGTCCTTTGACCACTGTGTCATCCTTCTCTATTGACTGGGTTTTCATCGGTTCAATTGGACGGTCTTCCGGTTTCCATGTCCTGTCATTCATAATCACCACCACAGGGATATAAAGTACAGCATAGGGAATGTAGTCAATAATATTGTAATAACTGTGTACAGTGTCAGGTACTAGACTTATTGGGGTGGTCACTCTGTGAGGTATACAAATGTCGAATCGCCATGTTGTTTTGTACACCTGAAACTAATACGAAAATAATAAAAGCACCACCATTAATTTTCTGTTTGATCGTCTTACAGAGCTTCTATTCCTAATAATGATGGTGTTGAATCCAACTTTTATCTAAATTATTTCATTTAATTAATGATTTATTTTATTCATTCAATATTTATTAATAGCTGATTATGGATGAATAAGTCAATCTTTTAAAAAATACAAGAAAGATATTGTAGGGTCAAGACCATGTTTGAAAGACCGATCTATCTAGGTACAAGACTCCATCACTTACTTTGTATAACTTTGAACATATTTATTAACCTCTCTGAGCTTCTGTTTCCATATCAGTAAAAATGTGAAGTGCCTGACTTTGTGGGATTGTTGTAAAATTAGCATATAACACCTTTTCATGTATAAAATAGAACTAATAGTTACTACCTTATGATGTTCTTGTGAAGATGAAGTGAGATAATATATGTAAAAGGTCTTAGCATAGTCCTTGTCATAGAGATTGTGATCAATAAGTGTTGGATATTGGATTCTGACAGTGCAAAATCTTTAATAATGAGAGTTATTAATCTTATTGTTAATTATAAATACAGTGATTAACAGAAGAAAAAGACGTGTGTTGCTGTGAAGAATTCCCTAGTAAAAGAGATATCCGGCCTCTGATCCAAGAAAAGTGTATCTGTACTTATTTCTGAGTACTTGGAGTAAACTAAAATTAAATTTGAGAATTTGGGTCACATGCTTAAATTTAAAATAAATTAGAAGCCCAAAGTCCCCAAAGGAATTCACTTATATATGGGATATAAAACTGAAAGCAACAAAGGAACAAGACAAACAAACAAACAAAACTCATAAACACAGACAGCAGTTTAGTGGTTACCAGAGGATAAGGGAGAAGAGGGGTAGTAGAAAAGGGTAAAGGGGGTGAAATATATGGTGATGGAAGGAGAACTAACTGGGTGGTGAGCACACAATGTGATATATAGATGGTGTATTACAGAATTGTACACTTGAAACCTATGTAATTTTACTAATCATTGTCACCCCAATAAATTTAATTAAAAAATAAAAAACCTACCTCTGGACTTTCGTCTGCTTCCCTAAGGTGTTTCGGTACCTGATTACTACAGCAAGCACCACAAATATGACTGCCAGAGGAAACAGCACCCCAACCACAATGGAGAAGTCTGCAACAAAGAGAACCCGAGCCTAGTGAGGATATGAGAAATTCACAAATATGCATCATGCTTGTCCTTATTTCTTTATTTAGCACAAATTCCCAACTATCCTTTTGACAGAGAACATGCATTCCCTGGAAAACCTCTCATAGCCAGTAAAATCAAAATGTATTTTAATCATGATTATTGTAATATTATTTAATAGAAGAAATAAAGGAGGAATCTATATGGAAATCTTAAGCAAATGCTACTGAGAACTCTTAGAAGGAATGAGGTTTGTAATAATTGGAAAATGAATGGTTGAGATATTAGATGAACATGAAGTAAGGAGGCTGACAGAAGAGTTGTGAAACATTTTCCAAATTCAGCCTTGTAATAAAACAGGGAAAAAGAAACTGAAGCCTTGAAATCACATTTCAGGGAGCTGAGAGGTGAGTAAGAGAATTGATAGAGACATAACTGTGTTCTACTGATGTTTGCTCTGTATTGCAATTGCTATGGACAGAAAATAAATTATGTGACCCTATGAGTTGGGGAATGGTTAGAACCAATTTCCTGGCTTTATATGATGTTTTCTCTTTTACCTACTAACTTAGATAATGAATGTAATTTCAATCTTTTGTTATTTCAAACTTTCGTTTCTCTTATAATAATCAGAAACCACAGAGACCAGGAGATATAAATTTGAAAAGCAATTCAAACAGCTCCACTCTCTTATTACAGAGGTCAGCAAATCAATAACAAGATGAATGTTTGTATAAATGCCAGAAAAGTTCACAAGTGTGAACACACAGGCAGAGGTAGACACATCAGAAGTAGAATTCTAGGTAAAGTAATAACTGTAGTTCAAATATCTAATTCTCCACCTCTATAAAAACTAAAAGAATTGTAGAAATATAGGAAGTAAAGGGGTTTAGGTGCAGGGAAACAGGGTAAATTATAGCTCCAAACATTAGAAGTAAATGCTATTCTTTCTTGGGAAGATTAACAAAGGATCAATAATTAAAAAAAAAAAAATTAGCCCAAACATCAGTAGTAGACGTTATGGTTTCTTGGGACGTCAACAGAGAATCTGAACTTGGGACAGATGATTCATTCAGGCCCGTCCCCACCCCTTATGTATATAAAATCAGAGTGGCTCCTGGCTCAAGACAAAGCCCTGAGACCTTCTCTCTAGAAACAATGGGGGGTGAAAGAGCCCGAGAAGCAGCACAGAGGCTAATCACAGATACCCATACGAGATCAGAGAGAGAAGGCAGATTCAAGGAGCGAGTAGAACACAGAGGGAGAGCAGCTCCCTCAGGAAGTGAATGATACGAAGACCTCTCTTCTCATGGCAAAGTACTCTTCACCATGGCGACTAGAGGTGAGGGTCTCCACTCTGGCTGCTTCTCACCATGACGGCCTGTAAAGACACATGCCTTTCTGTGGATAGAGCTGAAAGCCAGATCGCCTATCAGGAGAGGTATCGGTAGGTACGACAAGCACACAAACATGCAAGGAGAACCCATGTGAGCTCATTCGAGTCAACCTAATCTCATATTCAACAAAAGATCACATAGCCTGAAGAGAAACAGCACAATGACATACAAGACAGGGCGAAAAAAACGGAACAGTCAAACTAAAAAAAAATAGAGATCATTCAGAGAGCAGAATTAAACCTACAAAAATAATCTGTCATATTCTTAGAGGGGTTTATGGGAATGTTATGTCTACATATTAAGTCAAGGCTGCTATGAAAATGGAACAACTATAAAGCAAGAAAATCTGGGGGATTAAAGTAAGATTTCAAATATAGAATTTGAGGACATCTTTTTGTTATGTGGAATAAAAATATAAGGATGTAGAAAATATGACTAAACATTGTTGAAGAGTTTTGAAGATGAATATTATGGATTCAATAGCTACAGAACAGGAATTCTAAGAGGAGAGAAAAGAGGCAATGAAATCTTATGTTACATGAAAGAAAAACTTAGAAGAGTAATTTTCTCAGGTTAGATGTGTATGTTACCTACGGAAGACCACTGAGGAGTCATTACAGTCGGGAGGGACCCAGCCTTCTTTGCACTGACACTGGAGCTCGTGATCACATACCTGGGGGCGGGAGAGAATGACCTTGTCAGTTTCCACACCAGATTGACCATCTACCCAATTAAGTCCATTCTGAAGAAGAAATAACCCCTGTCCTGTGGCTTTTAGCTATCTACATAACATATGAATCAATAATAGGAATTTGAGTATGTCCTTAGATGAACGTTTTCAATGAAACAAACTACTGAGGGGTTAGACAAACTTAATAACTTTAATCATTTCATGCTGCAACATCGCATCATCAAAACTAGCCTAAAATTACATAAGCCTCAGCAAGCTAGGGGAAACATAGTCAAAACTTACAGCATGTCCTTTGCACTTAGATGAACAGTTGGTTGATTTGTAGGCTCTCTCGATATCCACACACTCTCCATTAATGCAAACCTGGTAGTGATGTGAAAAACATGAAGTTGACACTAATGTCCAATGGCTTCAGTTCTGCAAATTGCTGATACTTCAGAATTTAGTCATATTATTAATCACTATTGCTGTTATCAAACTTACCTTTTTATTATGAAAACCAGCATTCTTTTGAAAATAGGAAGGTAGGATCTAGACAATTCTTATAATAAAATATTTAGAAAGCCATTTTTTTTAAGATTTTTTTATTGGGGAAATTGGGGGGGGGGGAACAGACAAGTTGCTGTCGTTTTGTTCTTCAGTCTAGTTGTGGAGGACGTTGCTTCACTGGCCCAAGTTGGCACCATCATTGCGCTCTTCCTGGCTAAGGCAGATCAGTCGCCGGCTTCTAGATGGCCACTCACCGCAGCTGCTGGCTGCTCATGCTGGCTGCCGGCCACACATGGTAGCCCATAGCAGCCCACTGCAGTAGGGGCTGCAGCCTACGCCGTCGCCGGCAACTCACAGCAGCCCAGCTCCAGGTTGAGCTGTTGTTCAGCATCTTAGCTGTAGAGGGCAGTGTCACTGACCCTCATATGTGGGATCCGAACCGGGGCCCTCTGGCGTCCCAAGCCAGCTCTTAACCAACACGCCACTCGGCCGGCCCTAGAAAGCCATCTTTAAAGATTTCCTTACTTCACTTCATTCCTCAGGGGTCATTGCCTTAACCTACCTCTTCAGTCCAATGCTTAAGACCGATATTGACAACTGAGCTGAGCATTGTGCTTGATGCAAGATACCCATTCCAAACAAAACTATTATGGAAAGCATGCCAATATCACATCATCTGCAGTATTAAAAAAATATATTATTTGTGTAAAAATAAATATCGTTGTTATTATTCTCTTTATTATTATCAGAGTATATCATTCATTGAGAACCTGCCAATTTGGGGGCAATAAAGCTTACCTAAGTTTAACAACCTAGTGTTAAACACATAATAAATAGGTACTTATTCAATAATATTGAAGGAATAAATGCAGGCAGGCATCAATGAATGACATAAGCATTGCTTTGAAAACTGTCTCTATGAAACACAAGGAGGCCTTGAGAAATAAGACAAAAAACAAAATTAAACATTTTGAATAAAAAAAGCACAGTTTCAACTTGCCTCCTTGTTTCCACACTTCGTTCCATTGGCTACCATGCCTATTTCTTGACTGTTGTCGTCAGGATCAAATGTTTTACATGTCAGGAAAGTTACTACACGTCCTTTCCAAGGCAAATTATCCGATCCACCATGACAGAACAATTTGCCACACATGGCATCACTGAAGAAAAGCCAAAATTTGATGCAGTTGAAATACCAGGATCCAAATTGCATTTTTATATAAATATAAAACAGCTCCTTAACTATCAATATTTAACTAATGGTATTTCTCCCTATAGCAGAGACTCCTCATTTGCCTTCAGATCAATGCCCCCTCCCCTCTCTTATTCTTCAGTAAAAGAACCATTGAATATTGATAAGGCCCATTGTTGCTATAAAAAAAGACAACACACATTCATTTCTCAGATTCTCATGCAGCTACTTTTGGCCAATTGCCTAAGTTCCGCTACTGGGAAGGAAGCAGAATCTTAAATGCAAATTCTTCGGGGTTGGCTGTACATGAGAGAGTATGTCCTTCTTGACATTTTGTTTTGTTTGTTTGTTTGCTTGTTTCTTCCTTTTTACTTATTGGAAAGTGATGGCTGCAGCTGGAGAAGCCAACACAGACCAAGATAAACAATTGGGAATGGCAGTCATATAGTTGATGGAGCTAGAAGATATAAGGAGGATGGCTTTCTGCCATCATGGAGGGCACCTAGGAAATCAGATTCTATCCTGTCTCAGCTAACATTCCTTTTTGGTTTTCATGAACTGGGCAGAACAATTCTCTCAGCTATGGTTGTGTCAATATAAAACTAAGCCTTGAATACTCCAAGGCATTATGTGGGGTTATGGAAAGGACAGTCTACCTGCAAATACAGATGAAACTGCTCAGCACTCAATAAAACCATTCTTTTACCACCAAGGTGAATAAAGCCTACATCAATAAAATTACAGGCAATTTTAGAGAATTCAGAGGAGGGCTGTGAAAAAGTATACTGAATGTAGATAGAATCAGATTCCTCTGATGTCTTTGGTGATTGTTAGAAAGTATGATTGAAGTGTAGAGAAAGACATGCATTGTCTCAAAACCAGAGAGGGTGTTTTTCTTGAATCATTTAGGTGAAGTCTTACAAAGAAGATACTAGGGCACAGAGAATTCCAGGCTTAATCTCCAGTATACACAGTGACTTGTTAGAAGTGACTAGAGAGGTAGCCTGTGGGAAGAGTGAAATGCTTGTGCTTCTAGCTGCGGAAATTATCCAGTGCTCATATAAATGGTGATATGCGACAATGGTGTTTATATATGCTATAGAGAAAAGATGGAACTACCCTAGTCTCTTTCCCCACTTCTTATACTATATATTGCCCATTTATCCCCCACATATTTCCTTTTCATATTTTCCCCCTTTTGATTCTGCCCTTATTTCCTATAAAGGAGAGACTACAGGATATGACTATCCCTCCTTTAGGCCCAAACTCCCCAAGAGATGACCCTAGGTCCCAAATATAGATTGTTTGGGAACATCTATCATCTAGAAAAGTTAGTGTTTAGTAGAAAAACTTTGTTCAACCTCTTGTTATACATTACTTTGTAGGTGTAAAATTTGGACCAGGTACAAGGAATTTAATCTGTTATAATTTGAATTTTAAACATCACCTTAAAATTGCAGAATGAAAACAAATCTTAAAGAGCAATCTCAAATTTGCTGCATATAATATTCTATGATTTTTCTGGAATATCAATATACAAACTGAAACAAATTCTTCAAGTGAATTGTCAATTATTTCTCCTTCTGTATTTTTTTCTTTATATAATACCATGGCAAGTTTAAATAAAACTGTATAAGCATAGTTATTAGTTGTTTCTCTAAACAGATAAATATTTCTGTCCCTAGAATCATAACAGAAGACATTCGATGGGAAAGCACCTAAAATATCCTGGAAAATCAATGGATACATTTCCAAACAGGCCCATTCACCTTGCATGTTCCACCTCAAGCATTCATTCTGTTTAACCGTGACTGCACTTGGTGTCATCTGGAACACTCACAAGGGACTTGAAAAAAGGGATCAATTCTTATTTGTCTTAACTCAGTACCTAGCTTAAAATGTGGCGCATAGTCCTTCAATGAATATTTATCAAATGAATAATGTTCAAATTCACTTCCTCTTTAAATGGAAAAAATCAGAATGTGTGACCGGAAGTGAATAATATTCCTAAGCTGTGGAGCAGGAAGGTTCAAACAATAAGGCCACTTACCTTGCTTTACAGGGGATGCGTGTGTCGTTCACTTTGCGGCAGTACCCGTACTTTGACCCACCTTCATTCCTTCTGTAACACGACTTATCTGCAACCTCAGTTTCTGGGATGACGCATGATCAGCAGAGACATATTTGAGAAAAAAAGAGAGAAAGTTCAATGCCACCAAGGATTAAGAAAATATAAAACCAGCACGAGAAATACTATTTTAACAGTCATGTGTTGCTTAATGACAGGGATACATTCTGAGAAATGGGTCATTAGGTGATTTCCTCATTGTGTGGACATCAAAGAGTGCACTGACATAAACCTAAATGGTCTAGCCTACTGCACACCTAGGCTATATGGGGTAGCCTATTGCTCCTAGGCTACATTGTACAGCTGTACAAAAGTATTTTCTTTCTTTATATCCTTATTCTGTAAGCTTTTTAAATTGATTTTTTTATTTGCTTTTTAAACTTTTTGTTAAAAACTAAGACACAAACACACACACTGGCCTAGGCCTCCACAGGGTCAGGCTCACCATCATCACTGTCTCCCACCTCCCCGCCTTGTCCCACCGGAAGGTCTCCCGGGCCAGGAACACGCATGGACCTGTCATCCCGATGATCACACTGCCTTCTTCTGGAATTCCTCCAGAAGGACCTGCCTGAGGCTCTCCTTCAGGAGGTGTCACTCTTTTCAGTAATGTCCATGGTGGTTTGCTT